TATGCCTGGGGTTAGGGCCCCCATTTTGTCACGTGTCACAGAAAACAAGGTTAGAGATTGAAAACAGGGTTGGAGATTGAATCGCTGTTGTCACTGTGTATGCCTTGGGTTAGGGCCCCTATTTTGTCACGTGTCACAGAAAACAGGGTTGGAGATTGAAAACAGGGTTGAGGATTGAATCCCTGTTTTCACTGTGTATGTCTTGGGTTAGGGCCCCCATTTTGTCACTTAGGGTTAGGGTTAGGGTTAGGGTTAGGGTTAGGGCCCCCATTTTGTCACGTGTCACAGAAAACAGGGTTGGAGGTTGAAAACAGGGTTGGAGATTGAATCGCTGTTGTCACTGTGTATGCCTTGGGTTAGGGCCCCCATTTTGTCACGTGTCACAGAAAATAGGGCTGGAGATTGAAAACAGGGTTGGAGATTGAATAGGGTTAGGGCCCCCGTTTTGTCACGTGTCACAGAAAACAGGGTTGGAGATTGAAAACAGGGTTGGAGGGTTAGGGCCCCCATTTTGTCACGTGTCACAGAAAACAGGGTTGAAGATTGAAAACAGGGTTGAGGATTGAATCCCTGTTTTCACCGTGTATGTCTTCTGTTAGGGCCCCTATTTTGTCACGTGTCACAGAAAACAGGGTTGGAGATTGAAAACAGGGTTGAGGATTGAATCGCTGTTTTCACTTAGGGTTAGGGCCCCTATTTTGTCACGTGTCACAGAAAACAGGGTTGGAGATTGAAAACAGGGTTAAGGATTGAATCGCTGTTTTCACGGTGTATGTCTTGGCTTAGGGCCCCCATTTTGTCACGTGTCACAGAAAACAGGGTTGGAGATTGAAACCAGGGTTGGAGATTGAATCGCTGTTGTCACTAAGTATGCCTTGGGTTAGGGTTAGGGTTAGGGCCCCCATTTTGTCACGTGTCACAGAAAACAGGGTTGAAGATTGAAAACAGGGTTGAGGATTGGGTTAGGGCCCCCATTTTGTCACGTGTCACAGAAAACAGGGTTGGAGATTGAAAACAGGGTTGAGGATCGAATCGCTGTTTTCACGGTGTATGTCTTGGCTTAGGGCCCCCATTTTGTCACGTGTCACAGAAAACAGCGTTGGAGATTGAAAACAGGGTTGAGGATTGAATCCCTGTTTTCACGGTGTATGTCTTGGGTTAGGGCCCCCATTTTGTCACGTGTCACAGAAAACAGGGTTGGAGATTCAAAACAGGATCTCAGATTGAACCACTGTTTTCCGGGTGTATGCCTTAAGGTTAGGGCCCCCTTTTTGTCACGTGTCACAGAAAACAGGGGTGGAAATTCAAAACAGGATCTCAGAATGAAACCCTGTTTTCACGCTGTTTTCACGGTGTATGCCTTGACTTAGGGCCCCATCTTTGTCACGTGTCACAGAAAACAGGGATGGAGATTCACAACAGGATCTCAGATTTAACCACTGTTTTCACGGTGTATGCCTCGGCAGGGCCCCCTTTTTGTCACATGTCACAGAAAACAGGGTTGGAGATTCAAAACAGGATCTCAGATTGAAACGCTGTTTTGACGTGTATGCCTTGGCCTAGGGCCCCCTTTTTGTCACGTGTCACGGAAAACAGGGTTGGAGATTCAAAACAGGATCTCAGATTGAACCACTGTTTTCACGGTGTATGCCTTGGGTTAGGATTAGGGCCCCCATTTTGTCACGTGTCACAGAAAACAGGGTTGGAGATTGAAACCAGGGTTGGAGATTGAATCGCTGTTGTCACTAAGTATGCCTTGGGTTAGGGTTAGGGTTAGGGCCCCCATTTTGTCACGTGTTACAGAAAACAGGGTTGAAGATTGAAAACAGGG